ATGATTTCAACATGTCTGAAGGGCCAATCTGAAGGGACTCCTTCTAACCAAACATAGGACATTTTGCACATTAATAAGGATAATAGTTGCAGTGAATTGAGATATATCAGATATGTTTGAATGTCTGCATTCATAATGATGCTTTTGGAAAAATAAAAGTGGGCTGGCACAGTTCCTCATGCCTGTAATTTCAACACTCTGGGAGGCTGGTTTAGGAGGATCACTTTACCCAGGAGTTCAAGACCAGCCTGTGCAACACAGGGGGACTTTGTCCCTACAAAACGTTTTTAAAATTACTCAGGTATGAGGGCCCATGTCTTTGGTCCCAGCTACTCGGGAAGCTGAGATGGCAAGGTCACCTGAGCCTAGAAGTTTGAGGCTGTAGTGGCATGACTGCTTCTCTGCATACCAGCCTGGGCAACAGAGCTAGACCCTCGCTGTCTACATACATTAATTAATAGAAGTGGTCACCATTGAAGGATATAAATGAAGCAGCCCATCATTTTGAAAAATGATAAACAGAAGAAATCAAGCCACGAACTGGCATTTTCTATATAAATTGTACAAGTGAGTAACACAGTTTATAAGAAGCAGCATCACTTTTTTATATTTACATTATTTTTTTCTTCATGCAAGGCCCTTCTTAGGGTAGCAGTATCTCTTTCTGGAAGTATGACAGCTCATAAATGAAGAAGGAATGATACAACAATACCTTCATTGTTCGATCCATAATTGATCAATGACCATTAACATCACTAATGAAAAAAGAAAAGATGTCCAGAAAGCACACACCACCTCCCAGAAGAAACTAGCACAGTCTTTTTGTCCTGACCCTCAATTCCAACCTGAATCTGACCAAGTCTTGAGATCAAACTACTAATTTATAAAAACTAAAACAAAATGGCCAGGTGCAGTGGCTCACACCTGTAATCCAAGCACTTTGGAGGCCAAGGAGGGCGGATCACCTGAGGTTGGGAGTTCAAGACCAGCCTAACCAACATGGTGAAACCCCATCTTTAAAAAAATAAATTAATTAATTTAAAAAAAACACTAGAACAAAGTGAAGAGCAAGTTAACCAATATCACAAGATACAATTAGCAAAATTCACAGTATGGGAAACAGCGTAATGAGAATACACTTAGCATAATCCAAACTATGGGGAAATGGCCTGATTTATTCAATAAATGAACTGCAAGGGACAGCACAGAGATCAAAGTGGGAAGCTCTCAGGATCAAAAAAAACCTAAGAGGTGAATGAAACAATCCCAAAGAGAGACTTTGTTTGGATCCTGATTCAAACCATAAATACATGAAATGACTGGAAATTTGGAGCTAGCAGGAGAGTTGACAGTGATAAAGAGCAGTGGTGTGAGAAGGTTGGTTGATGATGGTATTCGGATTACATTTTTTAAAGAGTTCTTGTCTCCAGGCACAGTGGGTCACACCTATAATCTCAGTAGTGTGCGAGGTCAAGGCGAGAAAATCCTTTGAATCCAGGAATTCTAGACCAGTCCGGGCAACATAGCAAGACCCTGTCTCTACTAAAATACAAATAAAAAAATTAGCTGGGCATGGTGGTGTGAGTCTGTAGTTCCACCTACTCAGGAAGCTGAGGCAGGAGAGGCCACAGTGAACCAAGATTGTGCCACTGAACTCTAGCCTGGGTGACAGAGACCTTGTCTTGAAAGAACAAACAAGAATCATATCTTTTACAGACATATACCAAAACAGGGGTAAGTTATATGATGCGGAGGGTTTGCTATAAAATCACGAGAGGAAGAGGAGAAGCATGTAGGAGTGTACATGGAACGAGATTGGCCATGAGATAACAAATATCTGAATCTGTAGCTGAGTAGGTGAAAGCTCACTACACTAGCCTCTTGTTCAAAAAGCTCTAGATTGGAAAGTTTGTCTAAAAATCCACTTCATGGATTTGTAACAAGCATTGAATAAGATCACATACACAGAGTGCTTTATCACCACGGCTTGCAGGTAGTCAGCACACAAACATTGTTTTTAGTTTTGTGTAGTCCCTGTCCATTAATCACACCCAAAAAAAGTATGCTGTTCACACTAAGAGCTCTGGCCCATGGACCTTTGTCCACTTGGTGGTAATTTATTGGAATTTGAGGTTTAGAATGAGGAAATGCCAGCCTTCAAAGCCCCAGGCCTACTATGAAATAGCAAAGCCAGCAGTCCCACATGCCTCCGTAGCACACCTAGTAACTAGGACCACTTTTCTCTCACCTTGTAGGCACACTTGTTCATTCACTCACTATTTTTCATTCATTTCTTATACGCCATGTATTGGGTGCTAGGGACCTATAATACAGTGGACCCATAATTGACTGGAAGCATCACTTTCAAAGCATCATTTCAGGATGAGTATTTCATGTCAAGTGGATTCAAGGAACAGTGTGAAGGATCCATGCCTCAGTCACCAGTATGAAGGATCCATGCTTCAGTCACCCTCCCAAGAACCAGCCCTACTGGGCACATATAAATGAGTGAAGACATGGAACTCACCCTTACAAGGCCTAGGACCTGACAGAGCACACAAGACAGAAGCCCAAATAACCAGGAACAGGAAGCTGAAGGTGAGAGGTGGGCCCCAAAGGATTCT